GTGAGCCTCCAGTGCCCCAGCTGAGGGAAATGTCCCTCTCAGGCCCTGCTTCACACCGAGGCACAGACTGTCTCGACAGAGCAGTAAGTGTGCAGAGTGCTATGGGGAGGGAAGGGTGGGCAGGGCGGTGGGGAGGAAGTTGAGGCAGCACGGCCCCCGGAAGCCTGGGACGGACGATGGCAAAGGGCGGGACGTGCGGGAGGGATGAGGTGGTAGCCTGGGAAGCCAGGGTGGGCACCCAGGGCACAGCCCCACCGTGCACGTACAGGTGGCTTTCGGGGCCGAGGAGGGAGTCGTTCACCCAGGGACCGGAGCAGGAAGGGAAGGTCAGGGGCCTGGGGGCCTGGCTGGGAGCTTCGCGGAGCCAGTAGAGAAGGCCCTCCTCCCTTCTGGCTTTCTCAGGGCCCGCTCCTCTTCACCTGTCATCTCTCTCCGACACATGGGAACAAGCTGGCACACTCTCAGAAACAGACAGGAAAACAGTGGGAGCCTATCTGCACGTGGCAGAAGCCTGTGGAGAAATAAATTGATGGGAGGAGCAAGAGGCCTCCCCGATGCTGGCGGAAGAGATAGATGGGCTTGCCGCCTCAGTCTCTGTTTCTAGCCCATCCCGAGCCTGCTGCCAGGTCATTTCCATTTTCCATTTCCAAAGCATGACCACCCACCACGTGCCCGCTCTCAACCACACCCTGCTGTCTAAGGTTCAGGGTCTCTGTGCCTGGTGAGGAGCACACCCAGAGAGCACCCCCCCAACACACACATATCCAGGGCTCAGAAATTTTGGGGTCCCCCCACAGCATGGCTGTCAAGGTCCCTCAAAATCAGGGCCCTGCCTTTCACCAACTCAAGGTGGCCTCCTTACTCACCACAGACAGCACGGGCCTCTCACCTGCCTTTCCTCTCCCTGCAGTCTTTCCAAGTCCCACAGCCTCTACAACACCCCAGGACAGCGAGTGTAACCCAGACGGTCAAAGTAGGACAGAGCTGGGCTAGCATCCTGGCTCCGCCACTTACTGGCAGTGCCTCCACCCTCTGGGTCTCAGCAGCCCCATCTGCGACTTGACCAGCAGTACTCCCAGGGCTGCGTGCCAGCTCAGCGCCTGGCATGCGGTAAACACTAGGGGAAGGAAGGCTCTCCTCCCCCTCTGCACCCCTGCGGCACTTATAAGCCTCACCACAGCACTTAACACTTGTCCGGGCTGTTGTTTTTATTGCTTTATGTGCCTTGTGTTCCCAGCTGGACCATCAACTTCCTTAAGATGCCTACATTACCAGCTTCTCTGATTTCAGGTCCATTCATTGTAGGAAATGCAGAAAATCTATCACACTCCAAAAAAGAAGACGGAGCCAACCACAACCCCTGAGATAAGCACTGAGCACCGAGTGCACCCCAGCCTGCCGCCTGCCCCTCTTGTGCATAGATGTTTCTTCTGAAAATCAAGACCATGTTACAGATGGATTTTTATATCTCCATTTCTTCACTCAGCACTCCAAGATAAATGTTTTCCCACATTAGACATTCTTCAAGAACATACTTTTAATGTCCACATAATACTCCAGCACGAGGGGCAGTCACTGACTCAGGCAACACATCCATGCAGGGAGGTCAGGCTGGGTCCCCAGTTACGGAGGCTCACACCAGCATGCTTGGAGCTACCAATCTGCCAGTTACCTTCTTTCTGAGCTGATCAAATGCCTTTATCCCTTCTCCTAAGAATGCCCTTTCCTGTGGACAAAATCTGGGGTGAAAAATGGAACTGGCTATGATGCCCGAGCCCATGTAGTGGGCTGGCCCATCTGGTGTCAGTCCCCAGGTCAGCTTAGGGAGCACCTGGCAGTGCCTGCTGCCCTGAACCTCACACCCTACAAGTCAAAGGCTCTTTCTGCCTGCAGGCAAGGGAGTCTGAATAAAGTTCACGCACAATGCCTGTTCGTCTGGCTCAGTCATCACATCATAGGAGGAACAGCCAAGAGAAAGGGTAGTTAGACAAGACAGGACCCAGGAGGCCATGACAGAGATCTTCAATTTTCTAAAGGGCTTAAGTGTGTTCTGTGTGGCCCCAAGAGACACAAGGAAACAGGAAACACATTTTTGTTCAATATAAAGAACGCTTTAAATCAGCCCGAGCGATGGAAAGAATGAATGGACTACTACTTTGTAAGGTGGTGAATCTCCCGACACTGGAAAAACATCACAGCAAAGATTATCCTGAAGGGACTCAGGCATGGAGAGGATGCTCAGACCACATGATGCTAAAGTCCCTGCCACCCCGAGAGGGAGCTGTGTGACTCCCACAAGTGCCCTGTCCTCCCGCCACAATAAACTTGTAGGATCCCATCACAGGGCAATCCCACAGCAGGGCCTTGTCTGTGAGATACCCTCTGTCTCCAGATGTTCCTGCTACACCGAGAGCCTGGCTTCCTGGGAGCTACTTGTGCATCTAGCAGAAGAGCCTCCAGGGCATTTCAGAGTCAAGGGAAACAATTGCAGCCTATTGAAAACCCAACCACAGGGATACACTATAGCTAATGTGATATGAGTTATATCACAGGTAACGAGGAACTGTTTCTAAACAAAAATGGCCCCCTTCTTGTGTGTTTTCCTTCTCTTTTTTTTCAGGTTGGTAAAACTTAATTAGCCTTACGGTCCATCTGGCAATTTACATGCAATTACCCAGGATGCTCTGCATGGCTACTCAGGCCACGCTAGGTATCTGAAGTAACACGCTCAAGTGAGGTGTAATCAGCAGTCCTTGTGCAGACTCCGCTTGCCAGCCGCCCTCTAGAACTGAGAGCAGTGATGAGAACAGCTTGTACCTCGGGCCACAGGGAGGCCTGGAAGGGCCGCTGGCCTCCCTCAATGAGTGCCCTTTCCTTATGGGATCAGACACTTCTAACAGAGGCCCTGCGTCCCGCGTGGATGTTTGGGCCAGGGCTAGACTTCCCCAGATGCCTGCCCTGGTCGGCAGCACAGAGCGCGGCAGGGAAACAGTTTTAATGGTGTTTTGATATTCAAGGGTTGGGAACCTTACCCTCTCCAAAATTAGCAGAAGGAGGGGTGAGAAGTCAAGAGCTCAGCCTCTAAAATACTGAAGCCCAGGGACGGGACACTGTCACGTCCACGGCCACCCTCTGTGCCCATCTGAGGAAAGGGTGTGCTCAGGGAGGGGAGGCCCCTGAACACTCGGTACCAGAGGCCACCCAACCCTGCTCACTGGCTGAACCCGTCTCTATTCTGGGTTCCTCCCTGAGGAACATGGTGAGTCAGGGGTTAGTTTATAAGAATTGTAAATAAACTCAGTTTAATTTTTTTAAAAATTGCTATTTTAAAACCTAGTATTTTAAAAGCTACAACATAACTGTCTGGCCCTACGTTGGCTTTGGAAGGGTGGTTTGCTGCAGAGCTCACTGTCTGCCCTGGAAGTGAAGATGGCCCGTGTGAGTTGGGCTGTCCAATCAGGGTCCCTCCTGGAAGCCCCAGGCCAGAGGCACCAAATGCAACCCCATCGATGGGAAACCCACAGAAACCCACACTGGAGAGTGGAGAGCATGGGTGGGAGCTCTGGGCTGACTCTGACCACCGAGTCTGACCTCCCTCCACCGAGGCAGTGGAGTGAGGTGGGCACTGACAGAGGGATCTGCTTCAGAGACGGAAGGCAACGCAAGGTCAACCCAGGACTGCGTTCCCAGGGGCTGTGAGAGCAGGCAGCAGGCCTGCCAGGGTCAAGGGAGGTTTGCTGAAGCCACCTCATAGCAAGCAAGACAGTGACTGAAAGCACATAAAGGGTTACATCCCCACTCCCCACATACACGTACAGGAAAAAGGCCGGGTACCATGGCGGTTACAGCATGACCCTCAGACCCAGATGCCTGGGCGCATATTCCTACTCTGCCAAGCGCTGTAGTGTGAACACGAGCAAGCCACTTAGCTGCCCTGTATCTGGAAAACGGAGATGGTAATACTAGTACCATCTCAGGGCTGCTGGACGACTCAGGGAGCTGGCACCTGCACATCGCTATGAACGGCAGCCAGCATGCTGCAGGCACAGTGAAAACAGCCAGCTCGCACCGTCGTCTCTGTGAAATGCCCCTGGGACGCCGGTGCTGCCTCTGAGTTGAGCCGAGGCCCTGGGCTCAGCTGTGCCCAGGCTGTGCTGCCCTGGCCCAGCCCATGAGGATGTCTTGGGGAGGGCTTCCAGGAGAAAGATGGTCACCACAGTCACCCTGCTCTGAGCTCCTTTTGGACTGACAGACGGAGCACCGCATCCTAAGCCCAGGGTCCTAGCCTGGCCCCAACTCCACAGGGAGCCTGAGGAAAGACACAGAAAGTTTTCTTTTTGACCTGTTGTATATGTAACAAGAGAGTACAAAATTATACCAATCCTTCACACCACCAGCTCAGCCTCTCCTCGGAGCCACCTGTGAGGCCATGAGCACCTGAGGCTGTGCAGTCTCGGTCCCCAGCGCAGACGCTCGGCCTCAGGCGGCCAGGGAAGAGGCCCTTCTGCCAGAGACAAGGCTCCCTGCTTCAGTGACTAATGGCTTGACAGCAAAGTTTTGGAGAACAAAGCAAACTTCTGGTGTCCAGCCAAGCTGGGCTAGATGGTCACCACAGGGACCTGGCCATCCTGTCCACCAAAACTCCTGGCTTCTGACCGGGAACAAGACGGCCTTGACACCTCACCACACAACACACAGCCTGAGGTCTGAGATGGAAACCGGGGATAGGACAAAGGGCTGCAGTCAGGGACCCTACTTGGGATGCAGTCGTGCAAAGAGCTCTCCTTTACAGACCTGTTTCTGGAGCAGTTAGAGGGGGACACAGTTTAGAAACAAGGCGTGCGACACAGCTAATCCCCAGAGGTCTAAGTCACTCTAGTCAGCTCCGCCTGGGGTGCGGGTCTACGTACTGTTTCAAACTCCAGCACGGGCCACCGGGGGACCAGGGCAGCACGTTTCCACGGAGCAGCACCCGCCCTCGCGGAGGCCTCGGCACTTACCAGGAAGCGGACATCGTCAAAGCCATTCAGAAGCAACTTGCTCTCATATTGCTGCAGCCCAACTGCCTCCAGCCACTCCCCGACGCTCTGCTCCAGCGTCCGCGAACCTGACGAGAGAGGAATCGGCAGACGCTTGAAAAGGGAAAAACCATTAAGGCGGTAGCAGCGGCACTCAGAGGAAGACAGATGGCACTGCCACATCATAGTCATTACCATAAAGCAGCCAGACTATGGACAAGAGACCAGGGAGCAGAGGGGCCCGCAGCTCCTCTTCCGTGGGCAGGCCACGGGTAGCACGCCTGGCGCCCCACGCTCTCCCAACCTCAGGCGGCTGCGCCCACTCACACCCCCTCGGCCTGAGCTGCTGCAGGGCCACGGGGCCACATGCACGCGCTCTGCCTACAGGTCGGGGGAAGCCAACCCCCAATGGTCTCTGGTCAGCTCCTTGTCAGCGTTCACACTGAGGTAGTTCGGAAAGTCTGGTCCCACGGGCACTAGCGGGGCTGGGGAACTCCTCTCATCCATGCACGCCGGGAGCCCAGGGGGGCTGTGGGAGTGGACCGGTCCTGCGACCTTGCAGCACACACTGGTCAGGAGAGTGCACACATCTTTATGCAGCGCAGGGACACAGGCACACAGCGAGGGCTCCAGGAGAGAAGCGGCGGCGGCTGCTCACAGGGACCCAGCACATGCAACCCAAGCAGCAGCGAACACAGCAGAAGAGAAAAGAGACTTTTACTTGTTTTCCCCCAGCAGTCCCGGAACAAGCAAACCATGGCCCTTTGTGCTCAGAGGCTCAAGCAGTGAGGGGCTGAGCGGGGCGCATGGACTAGGGCTCAGGGACCAGGCTCAGGGTGACTGTGCTGGGATGCCAACATCGCATTCTGCAAGCTGCGCGGCTGGTGGGCCGAGGAGCCTGGTCCACAGCTAGACCCTGGCGGCCGGCGAGCGGGGTGTGTCCCAGGCTGGGGCGCTGTCTGAAGGGCTGCCTTCCCGGGCCGGGTGGTTTTGCAGGGGCCGGGCATTCATTGTCCTCTTCTGCTAGTGGCTGTTCCTGTGACTCTCCTGCCTGCTCAGGTGGAAAGCAGGCAGGCAGATCCAGTGCTTGGCAAAGGATGATGACAAAACCCAGCCAGATAAAAGAAAAAGGAAGCAGTCCTCTGTCAGCTGGGCTGTGGCGGCTTAAGTCTATTCATGTTCGGCACTGTCCTCTCTTTGGCTGAGAGATAAAGACAGCAAGTGTCTTCCCAGGGTCTCGGGTCCTGATGCTGTTGTCTGAGGCCAGGCAGGGAACGGGAGGACACCTACTTGCTATGCTTCTTGGGTAGGACAGGGAGTGTAGTGGTGCAGGGAGGAAAAAAGTTCAGCCCTTCCTGGCAGACCGTGGATGCTCTGAGCTGAACGCCTTAACCCCCACCTACTTCTCTGGTTCTCACAGGCAAGTACAGATAAAAGAAGGAAAAAGGAGAAAGGGAGGAAAAATAGGTGTGAGGAAGGAAGAAGAACCAACTACAAAAACATCACCTCCAGAGAACTCTTGACACGGTGAAAGTCATTCTGTCCCTCCTGGTACTTTCTGCCCGCAGGGCAGGCCAAGGCCAACTGGCGTGGCTATCTAGGAGACCCCGGTGACCCAGGGTCCCAGGCTCCCCCTCTTGGCTGTCCTCCGCAGAACAGATGGCTTCAGGGCCCCAGGCGGCCTCCTGACGCGCTGTAGCAGCAGTCCAAGATGTCTGGGGCTACTTGAGCTCCCCTGCCCTTGAACGGTGTTGTCTGCTCCAGGGACTTAAGCGGCAGGCTCTTGTCTGCCCACGAAGTGTCCCTGGCTGCTGAATCATTCCTGCCTGTAATCCCCCAGCCGGGCAGCTGTGGTCCTGCCTGCTGCCGGTGGATGTGTACGCTCTCAGCACCGCAGCCGAGTGCTTTGTCTAAAGGATCCTGGGCTCCATGCTGCCTGCTGCCGGCTCCACAGTTCTTGCTCACTCTCATAATAACGTCTGGCCCTCCCCCTCCTCCCCTCCCCACCCGCCTCCCCTCCACGCGCTGGAAAATACATTAGGGATCGGACATCGAAGCAGAAGCTGCGGCTTCTGCCGCCGCCGAGGGAAAAGACAGCAGCACTAGCATCAGAGCCAAGTGACAGATTTCCCAGTATCTGATGTTGTCCAACATACATGCACAGGAAAGGTAAGGACGGCAAGGCTTTACCTCCAGCTCATGGGCTGGAGACGGCTTCCCGGGGAGAACAGAGAAGGAACGCTCCTACAGTTTGAGCCAACAGTTTCTAGGACATCCAGGGAGGGGATGGAGGAATGACACTGCCCTGAGGGCACAGCCCACAGGTTAAATGACCCCCCCCAACCCCACTCTCCACTTAAGGAATGACTGTGCCTCTCTGCCAAGAAGATACACCTCAAGGATCACAAAAACAGGTGACAAAATAAGGATCTTACACCTGATACTCCTCAGGTGAGAGCACCAAACAGTTTGGAAATGGCTTCTCTCTGGGCCCGTCAGAGCGCAGGGGAGAAGTGCCAGGCCTAGAGCGGCCACTCACATCTGGAGGGGAGGACGTGAGAGGCGAGGCACCCAGGACAGGGGGAAACACGGACCAAACCTCCACAGCTGTGGAGACAAAATGACAATGTGTGCAGGGACAACAACTCAGGGATGCCATGCTACCCTCTAACCATGCTGGGGGACACCTGCACCCCCAACAGGCTATAGGTGGCCCCGAGAAAGCAGGGGCTCTGTGTGCAGGGAGATCAGGCCCCAGAAGGGGTGGGCATTAAGCGGCTACTCAGCAGCTGTAACGGCTGGCTTGAGCAAAAGAAAGCCGAGCAGCAAGTGGTCTCTTCCGCCTGACAGCACAGGCCTTTGTTGAAATCAGCCAGGGTGGCCTGGGCCAGCGAGAAGGCTTACCCTCCTGCACTCCTGACAGCGGGATGGTTGCAAACCATGTCTGTTGGAGATTCGGGTAACCAGCTTCAGTGCTGGCAGCTCAGGGGCCCATAGTCCAAAACAGGACTGAGACTCAAGAGCCACAGAGGGTCTCACCCTTCAGGACATGACTATGTGCAAAACCAGCCACACCAGGCAATCCCACACTTGGGTAAGGGCTGGCTGCTGGGAGGGTCTGCTTCCCCAAGCAGGTTGGCAATCTCAGACAGAGCCCAGGTCTCTTCTCCTAGATCTGGGAGCCCACGGATAATCGAAACCCTGATACTGACCATTCAAAATAAATAAGAATTAAGAATTCTGCTTTGGTCTGGACTGAAGGCTGGTGCGCCCCAGGGTCCTGGGGAAAGCCCCGTCCTGACCTGTCAGACAGAAGGCGGAGTTCTGAGCTGGCAGTGGTGCAGACACAGGGGGCTGGGGCTCGGCAGCATGGGTGCACGCACCCTCTGTTCAGGAGGCCGCCCTTGACTTCCTAAGCTAGGGAATGGAGGGTGGTTCAACTAAATGATTACTAAAACAAGACTGTGTTGGGATCCAGAAACCTAGCGGGATAGCGGGACCAGCTCTCACCACTCACAGGGGTACATGGGCAAGGACTGGGGGTGCAGCCAGAAGGACAAAGAAAGAGCTCCGTGTTGGCACCTCCAAAGAGAAGGGTCTTCTAGGGGAGTGTTTTCCAGAGGTGCCGCCACAGCCCCTGATTAGCAAAGCCAAGAGGTGACCCCAACTCTCAAGCACGCGCACATGATTCACGCCCCTCTGACCCAGCGGGGACAGGGAAGCAAAAAGTGGCCTCAGCTGAACTGCCTGGTGTCGGCCCCGTTCCGGGCTGTGCCCAAAGCTCAGCGTTGAAAATGGCAACCACGACCGTCTCAGTCCTGAACTTCTACTCCCCATACACACCTGACTCTGGGTAAAGCCTGAAAATTATTGTACAACAGGGTGACACTGCTTGCCTGAGGGGAAGCAGCAGCCTGGAAACAGGTCCACACTCTCAGCCGGAAGAGCCGCCTCTGCAGACCCCACTGTCATCCAAGGCTGACAAAGATGGACCAGGCCCAGCGGTGCCCCCTCTGTTAGAACCCGAGAAACAGGGTGGCCGGAGGGAGGGAGGCTCTAGGAACCCGGTCTGAGAAATGGTACAGGAAACAAGCCAGGGGAGCAGATGCCCCTGTTCTCTAGGCCTTGATGAGTCAGCAATGACTTCACGGACAAAAACGAGCATAGCTACCGCTTACTGAGTGCCTCTTTAGGTCAAGTATTTGTATATACTGCTCATCCCCACAAAACGACGTAGGTACTATTATCCCCATGTTGTGGATAGGGAACTGGGGGCTCGGAGAGCTTAAGTGACTTGTCCAAGACACCCATGGATTTGGAACCAGGGTTTGAACCCAGGACTGAGGCTCGAGAGCCCATACTGTCCACAAGCCCCACGGCCTCAGCAGGTCCTTTCTCCCCGATGTGTACACCTGCCCCCACCCATCAGACTTCCTGCCAGGGCCCAGAAGCCCATGGAGGTACCAGCGAGCAAGGAATTCTATCCCTTGAGTTCAGGGAGGCATTTCCTCAACAAGGGGGCAGGATCAGGTTGGAGGTTGGGGGTGGGGAGGACAGGAGATCTGCTTGGGGGGAGGAGTGTTGGAGCTGCTCTGAATGTCACCGGAAGAAAGGAACACAACCACAGTTCTATTATCAAGGAAAACAGCTCAGAATTGGCCCCCCAGTTCCTTGTTTCAAAGGAAGGAAACAGAGGCAGGCCTCACCTCTAGGGCTCTGAGATGAAAAGAATTCCCCAGGTAGCAGTGATCTCAAGTGAAAAGGACAAGGTAAATGGGAAAACGGAGAAACACACACGCAGAGGAAGCAGCGAAGCCGACGCCTCCCGGAGAAGCAGGCTAACAACAGGCTGAGCCCACTGGTCCAGCCCCATGCTCTGCCACTGTCACGGATTAGGCGAACAAGAGCCACTTCCCATAAAGAGGTGGTGCCAGAGCCACCCGGGAAGCTGGAGGGACCCACACTGAGGGGCGCTCCAATTTAAGCCAACTGGAGGAAGTCTACATTTGTGGAAAGAATTGAGTGACAACTGCTGATTTAAAAAATACGGTTTCTTCACAGGCAACCTGAAGTTCACTGTACACATTCCCAATCAATATGTTAGAGGAGCCATGGCTCTTAACAATAACCGCTGGATGGGCCGTCTAGATGTGTGCGATTCTCAGTTGTGAAAGCGTGACATGGTCTGATGTGACCTCGCTCCCCCTAAGGGTTTCTTTTCTGTGTCGGTGGGAAAACCTGAGCAGGAAAGGACTCGAGGTCTGTGTTCTGTGGGGAAGAGGGCTGCTTCGTACAATACCTGAGATCTTCTGTTGTTCCTGAGAAAAGTCGATCCCTTCTCCAATAGAGCTCATGATTTTCTCAATCTGCAATGGAAGAAAGAGGAACAAAAAGGAGAGGCTGTCAGGCTCGGGTTAAACATGGCCAGCTCGCCATCGGGCCCAGGGGGCAGGCCTCCAGGGCTCTTCTAGATGATTCCAAGGCTGGCACCAACCAGCACGGTATCAGACAGAGCTCTGCTGCTCAGACCGAGAAAGGCCCACTCTGGGCACAGCCCAGTAGGGTCTAAAGACATGCTCTGAAGAGGGTGAGAGGGTAATGACCTGGGCTGCTGGAAATGCCAGAGCCCCCCCCTTCCAAGGCATTTATGTGTCACTCCCTCACCCCAGTTCTCCTAGACCAGATAGAGGTTGGGCAGAGGGTGCCAGAGCAGGCCAGGCCTGGCAGGTATCACTGCTTATGCCAGAAGTTTAATTCCATCAGAGGAGAGTTTGCCTGCTTTGTTTCCTGTTGTACCCCAAGTGCCTAGAGCAGCGCCTGGGAAACCATAAGCACTCAACAGGTAAATGATATTGCATGACCGCCTCAGAGATGTGAAGCCAATTTCTAGAGCTGAGATAAGCAGAGCACCTGAACACAGGAGCCTCTTGGAAGCCAAGGAGGGGCAGGCACATAACCCTGAACGCAGGATCTCTCGCTCCCTGGAGGCCAGCAGTCCCCGACAGCTCTGCGTTCAGGGATAAGAAGGGTGCAGATACTTGTCCTTCCTCTGGACCACGGCAGAGAGCCGGTCTCAAAGCGCCCACCATCTCCAGCACTGCCCCTGTGTGGACCTGTCCCAGCCATCTGGCTTGGGCGGTCGTCCTGAGCCAGGCTCAAGCCCCCCTCCCCCCCCAGGAAACCTGACCAGGGGCAGGATCGTGCAGTGAGGCAGCGGCCACGTTCTCCTCCTCCCTTCCCCCTCCTTTCTGGGCTGCAGTGATAATGAGCTCATTTGCTGCTCTTTTTCCAAAGAAATGGAAAGAGGACCTTTTGTACCAGGGCTTGGAAGGCTTTTCCTCTAAGTGCAAGTAAGGAGCCTGGGTCTGACGATCAGAAAAACAACTCTCCAGCCAGCCTGCAGCTGGCAGACAAAGACAGCACATTTGACGCCCAGCGGAAGGGCAGAGGGCGGGCCCCACCTCTCCTGGAGCAGCCTGGAAGGAGTACAGGAAGGTGTTCTCCTCCAGCCACAGAAATGACTGCTGGCCCGGATGGTCACCTGATGGCCTGTTCATGCACGCAAACTCCATCCCTGAGCTTAGCAAAAGCAAAGGGAAACAACACAGCTGCCGGTGGGATAAATGGAGGGTATGCATGTGTGCTGGCCTGGAAGCCTGCTGGCAGCCCCACACAGGTCTGCACGGCCCCTTGAAGAAAATGTCTGAAGGAGGCAGCAAGGGAAAGACCCAGGTGAACAAGCAGCACATTCAACCCCCCAAAGCCTCAGTGTGAAATCTACAAAAATGAGGATGGTGCCGCCGCCTGTGAAGAGCTGTGTGGGCAAAGCATCACGTACATGAACGCCTCCAGCCGGAGACCTGGCTCACAGTCCATGCTCAATACAAGGTTAGTTTACTTCCCACGTCCCCTCCGTCATCTGCAGTGCTTGAGCCCAGCAAAACTGGTCTTTAAAGTTTTAAAAAATATGTTTACTCACATTTATTTTTTGACAAGTAATAAATACATCCACAATTCAAAACTCAGAAGACTCAAAAGATTATTCAGAGAGGTCTCCTACCTAGCCCTGCCTCCTAACTGCCTAGTTCTCTCTGGAGGAAACCAGTGGAACAGGTTTCTCCAGTATCCTTCTAGATCTACTCTATTCACATGTAATCAAATATATGAATGTATTCCACCCCCATACTGATAGAGGCATTCCATTTTCCTTTGAATAACACATCTTGGAGTTCCTTCCACAGTTCATAAGGGACATTTTAAAAAAATGGGTGAGGTATACTCATCCAGCATATGGCTGTAAGATAATTTATTTAACCAGTCCCCTGATGCCACCAGTCCCACATGCGTAAGTTTCCAATCTTTTCTCATTTTAAACGGTGCTACGATGAATAGTGTTCTCCATACATCTTTGTACGCACGTACAAATCCATCTGTAGAATAATTCGTAGTTATTTCTTGAGAGTTCTTCCAGGCACAGAATGTTGAGTCAGCAGCAGGGAGTCACAGGTCATAGAATCCCAGCTCCTGCTCCCAGTCTGATTTTGCTACAGGCCTTCTCGAGATGGGGCCTTGCTAACTGTCCCAGTCAGCTCACCCATGTGCAGACAACACCGATGTGTAACATCCGTCTTTTTACAGACTTAAACCTTTCTGTAACTTCAACCCAACGGTCCCTTTATTCCCCTAGAGCGCCTCCTCTTCCAAAGGCTTGGGGATATCTGGAGACAGCTCTTCTCTTCCAGGCCAAGCTGCTCCCCCGCCCCCAGGCTGCACTGAAGGACGGATCAGTGCCAGGCCCTGAAGCCTGGGACACCCAATCAGATTACAGAGCCTCGAGCTGGGCAGAGAGTAGGCATGCTGTAGATATCGGCTGATGTGCCTTCTCTACTTCTCCACATTTACAGGAGAAAAGTAGGGCACTCGAGGCAAGGAAACTTTTTCCTACATGGGGGGACGGCTCCTTCAGCCTTTGGATCCCTCCTCCAGGCCAAAGGGGGAGAACGTGGGAGAAGCACCAGAGGGTTGGAATCATGCATGTTTTATTTGCCATTTTACCCCCTGGGCTTGGCTCTTGGTAAATAGAAGAAAGGAAGGGAGGAATGGAAGAAGGGAGGGAGGAAGAAAAGTCTTTTGAAATGAGAGGGAACAGGTGAACACCTTGCTGCTTGCCCCAGGAGTCACCCTCATGCCAACTGCCAAGGGCTAGGAAAACCCCAGGTTTCCAGCCCTGTGGGTGGGTATGTGAGGTGCTTCAGACTGCAGGCCAGCTGGGAAATGCTAATGGAGACTCTCGGAACTATTTCATCCCGACCAGAAAGTACACTTTGTTTTCTGTGAACTGCAGTAGCTCAGTCATGCTGAGAAGATGCTAGTGTCTAGAGGAACCAAGAGTAGTCGGCAATTTATTGACAGCTTGCAACCCAGGACTCCTGCTCACCTTGGGGGATGCTCAGGGCTGGGGGAAGTGGAGGGAAAGAGGTCCCCGCCCTGGCACTGCAAGCAGGCGCTCTCTGAGGCTGTGGCCCTGCCCCGCCCCTCAGCCTGCTTGGGGAGGCCTGGGAGGAGCTGGATCTCACCATCTCCCCCTGCACGCCCCCCCCCTCCTGCCACACACACACCTCTCCGCCAGCCCTCCCCCATGGCCCAGAACTAGCAGAGAGTGATTATGGTCATTTCAGTCTAGACAAAAGAGGAGTGGTCACAGAAGACAGATACCATTCTGATCTGACTCTAAATTTCATGGACTTTAACCATTTAGGCTTTAAAAAAACAATCTGATTAGGCTGCTTTGCCAGAAACATTCTGCATCTCAGGGGAATGTCAGTGGAAGAAGCAGGTGGAATGTAACAGAAGGGGCACGGCTCAATGGTTTCTTCTTTTTCTGCTGTTCAGGATCAGTGACATTTTGGGAGGGAAACAGGACATGGCCACACTTTCATCCTGCACTTCACATGAACTCTATTAGAGAACTTATATTTGTGTCTGGGAAGGTAAGGTCTGAAGATTATTATCACCATGATGGGCTCATGTATTAAAAAAAAATGCTTGGAAATATTCCATTTTCAGAACATATTCAGGATTATTCTATTCTGACGTTACCCCCCGTCCCCACCACCACCACCACCACCACCTCCAAACGGGGGTGTGTAAAATGTATTTCTTACATGCCTGAAAACAAAACCAGAATACATGAGAGCTACTACTGCTCGGGCCATCTGACATCCGCATGTTTGGAGCACAGGGTGCTGAGCCCAAAGGCAGCAACGGGGGGTGAAGTTCTGTATGTAGGGAGGCCCCCTTCTCCAGCATCATAGCCTGGCTGCCAGGAGCAACTCAGATTACACTATCCACTTTTCAATGGATATTGGGGGTGAGGGAGGGGAATACAGCTGTTGGAGAAATAAATACTTCCCCAGGCTTTGATGGCTTGTCTGTGTGCCAGGAAGTGTGCTGGGCACAGGTACTCCACAGGAGAACCGCAAGCCTCGGTGTAACGCGGCTGCAGGGCCCGTGGGAAACTCCCTTCCAGGAGGTGGTACGAGTTAGAAGCAGCGGCAATGTTCCGGGGCTCCCACTTGCAGCCAAATATCAGAGAGCAGGAATCAGTTTGGTCAACAGCCTAAAGCACAGGAGGAAGGGAAAGCGACGGCCTCCCCCCACCCTCTTTCAGTGCAAATGAGAACACGAAGGGGGATGTTTCTGTGATTCGGTAGCCACTGAATTTGGCTGCTGATGTCAGACACTCCCTCCCAACCCACTTTCTGTTGCCCGGGGAGCTGTCAGCTCCTTAGGATTCTCCTACCAACTGGAAAACACACTCCAGTCTCCTTGGGCCCGGCCCACCAGGGCCAGGCACCTTCTACATCTCCTCCTCCGCCCCTGACGCTTACTACTGTCTTGGCCCAGAAACACTCGGCTTTGCACTGTTACTTCCCTGATTAGCTGTTTCATGGTGTGTCCCAGAAACACTATCAAACCATGAAGGGTAAAGATCCTGTTTCACACTGTTTCTTTTAGATTCCACAGGGTGCCCTGTACAGAGCTGGCATGCTGGAGGTGCCCAGTGACAAACAAGAACAGCTACCATTTGTTAAGTGTCCTCGCCAGGCTAGCCACCTTGCTAATACAGTGACAGGGGAAAGGCAGCCAACACGTCTGGACTTAGTCTGGATTCTCTAACTCCCCTTCCCTCTTCATTTCTATCTTTTCCCAGACTCCTTGGGTTGCTGGCACAGCAGCCTCACACCCGCACCTACCAGCAGGCCCTTCTCTCAACAACCCCGCAGAGCCTCAACTTCCTGCCAAGCAAA